CCGGGGCTGCACCTGCGACCGCCGGTTTTGAACAGAGCGCCCTTTCCGTGGCCGCCCCGGGCGATCTCACCGGCGCGTCTGAGGCGTGCTGCGCGGTGCCTACCGGCCCGCCGAGCTTCGGGGATCTTTTTAGCGCTCCCAGGGGCTGGCCAAGTTCGCCTTGGGCTTCCTCACCGCAGGGACCTGGAACCAGGGATTCTTTCTGCTGCTCTCCAGTGCCTGGCCCCGCCCTCCGCGTGTTTGAGGCCCCAGCTGCCGTGGCACCTGTGGGCTTTGAGGCTTGGAGGTGTTTAGGAGCCAGGGACCTTATCCAGTCCCCACAACCAGTGGCTGCAGCTCCTGGTGGGACAGGAGTGGAGGCAGGGTGAAGTCAAACGCCAGAAACTGGTTTAGATCCTAGAAGAGACCCTGAGAGGCTTCCTCGGAAACACTCTCTGTCCCTTCAGCAGAAGCTCAGCAGGGACTGTTGGGGATGTGAATTCCCGACTGGGAAAGTGTGGGACCATAAGAACATAAATAAAAACCTTAAGGCTTTTATATGGAACATTTCAGGCAGGTAACTAAGAAGCCTAGCCCAGTAAGCACGCATACTTACTGCCCAGCTTAATGAATAAACATTAAGACCTTCTGAATATCATCTCAGCCTTGGCCCTTCTCTCTGCTCCACTGGAACCAACTTTGAATAGGTTTATTGGTACATTAAAGCTCAGTGCCACTTGCTGGCGTTGTGTTGTGCAGATGGGTATGCTCCTTTGGTACAGACTGATGTGGCCGTGATTTGGTTTTGTTGGTTTGCCTGCTCTTTGGTGTAGATCAGTGTACACCAATGAAGTGGAACAAGGCTGCCACTTGCTGATCTATCTTGTCCTGAAGAGGCACATAGTTACTTTCTATTTCACAAGAAAATTAAGTTGGCTCCTGCCTGTTACTAGTTACTGTTCCTTGTGAGTATTGCAAATGTAACTTGTGTGTGGTTAATTTCTAGACCAAATACACATTGATAGATGAACAAGACATCCCATTGGTGGAGAGCTACTCCTTTGAGGTAAGGATGACTGGTGCTTTCATATTGCTTTTGGTTGGTGCCTGGGAAGGGTCATGAGGAGTGAATTTCCTTCCCTGTGCTATGTAAGCAAGTGGTTAGCCACTGCTGGCCTGTGGACCCTGAGGTCCACACTGTTGATTCTCACTGGAGCCTGTTGCAGTCCCACTGCTCTTTCCCCAGCCTCACTCACCCTGCTTGCTGGCTCTTGAGAACACACCAGGTCTGGTTGTGTTTGTGACAGGATGTCTATTAACTCAGATCAGGGTGCAGCAGTCTTCACCTCTGCACAGTGTGAGGGGAAGTGGTCCTGCTCCTTGCCAGTGTTCTCAGTGGGAAATGTCCATTCCTGCTGCTGATTTGGCACAGAAGCCCTCCACCGCCAGTGTCCCCACTCCATGATTTCATATCAGCACCTCACACTTTGTAGACACTGCTTGTTCAGGGGTTTCTCTTCCTTGCTAGGTTGTGGGCCTTTTTGTTAAGAATGGGAGAATTTCTCTGTGTCCATAGTAGGTTTCTTGCCCAAATTGAAGATAATTTGTTTGGAGTGTTTGTTTTTCAGTGATTGGCCTTTTAAATGAGTCTCTCCAGATCCCCAGGGTCCTGAGAATAGGCTGGCATTTGTCCTTCTGGCTGTTTGTTTTGCTTGATTTCCCCCTCGCTCCAAGTACTGGAGATTGAATCCAAGGGTCCTCTACCACCAAGCTACATCAAATATTGCCCAGAGTTTAAGGCTTGTTTAACAAACCTTTTCCCTTTTTTTTTTTTTTAAGGCCCGAATGGAAGTAGATGCAGATGGAAATGGTGCTAAGATATTTGCATATGCCTTTGACAAAAACCGAGGAAGGGGATCAGGCAGGCTCCTTCATGAACTGTTGTGGTGGGTATTTTCCAGAGGCCTTCCATCTCCCATCTGGGTCCTGTGTAAGCTCTGATGTGCAAGTATGCCTGAGGCAGTAGAGCTGGGTGAAATTGGATTAGCCCTACTTTCCCTGGGTCTGGGTCTGGGTCTGAAGAGTTGTTTCTGTGTCTTTTGCCAGTAACCCAAAGGAATGGTGAATTTGCATGTTGTGGTACTTCAAAAACCAGGTGGGGATTTGGGTTGTGGCTCAGTGGTAGAGTGCTTGCCTAGCATGTGTGAGGCTCTGGGTTCGATCCTTGGCACCACATTTAAATAAATAAAGGTCTTTTGACGCTAAAAAAATATTAAACAAACAAATCAAGCCAGTGTTCTGCTGGGGCAGAGACTCCTATGGAGGAGGGGGATTCTGCTCTCTTTGTTGGGCTCTCACTATGCTTGTTGTGGGGTTTAGTCTACCTCCCTGGAAAGCAGGCCACCAATGTTTGTTGTACACTGTGGGGCTCTGAAATGTTGGGACCACCCAGATGCAGAGCTGGTCTCAAGGATGGCTGTTCAGATAGTTTTTGGGTTTCATCCTTGATTCTCATGAGTCCAGCCCTTAAATCCTGGAGCAGAATTGTCAACATGGATTCCTGTGGGCATCCTCCCCTGGGTGTACTTCCTGTCCATAGGATGAGGAGCCAGTTCAGACCAAGTAGCTGAGACTTTTTTCTGGCTGGATTTGCATGTTAACCAGAGATATCTGTGAGGGTCAGAGATGGCACTCTAGAGGATGTTTTTCCCCAGGGAGAGGCACAGGGGTGGCGTCGCTCCCGGTTTCCAGGTAGTGCACCTCAATGCTGTGACTGTGGACAACCGCCTGGACAACCTGCAGCTGGTGCCTCGGGGTTGGCGGCCCAAAGCTGAAGAGACCTCCAGCAAACAGAGGTGGGTTTTTCCTATTGTGCTTCCTCCAGAATCTCAGAACCAAGAGGGTCATGTTCCCACTGTGTCATGATGCCTGTGTGTGCTTTGGGATCAGGATAATTTTTCCCCAAAGTGTGGTTTTCCCCATTTGTCATGGGAATGGGAAGAATTTCTAGGATTATCTTTCTGGAGTGATCTTATGATAATTGGACTTAGGAATCCATTAGCTGATGTGATGAAGTAGGGCTCGCTAGCCTTGGGCCATACCTGAGGCCTCCTATGCATGTACATGGTCTCTCTGTCATGTTCTTTTGCTAAGCAGTTTTCCTTGAGTAGAGGTTTGAAGAAAGCAGGATGGTGTGGTTTGGGGGCGTGACCTCTCAGTTTCTAGCTCTCTGAAGTCCTCTTATTTATTTATTTATTCATTCATTTATTTATTTATTTTTTAAAGAAAGAGAGTGAGAGAATTTATTATTTATTTTTTAGTTATCGGTGGGCACAACATCTTTGTCTGTATGTGATGCTGAGGATCGAACCCGGGCCGCACGCATGCCAGGCGAGCGCGCTACCGCTTGAGCTACATCCCCAGCCCTCTCTGAAGTCCTAAACACAGTACTCTGTACAAACTTCCATGTAGGAGGGCAGTTCTTGCTGCCCCAGGACCAGCCCATGTCTGATACTTGTGGAGCCCTTGGGAAGATCTGAGGGGCCAGCAAGATGGGGTTGGGAGCTGAAATGAGCCCAGGAGTCCTCAGCTTCACATGCATCCTTGACCTGTTCACAGACTTCTGGGCTTTCTGTGTACTTCCTCAAGCTGGTGGTGGTCTTTCCCAATGTTGGCAGTGCTAACTACCCCAGCAGGACAGTTCAGTGTTTTGGGTGATGAGCTGAACATTCACTTATTGCCTTCGGATTGTGCCAGAGCCCTGTGCAGTGGGAGAGAAGTGGCAGGGCCACCCTGCAGGCTGCTGTTGGTGATGCTAGAGGACAGTCCCTAAGTCCTTGAGGGCTACTTCCAAACTGCTGCTCTGGCCCTGTGGTGTCCTGCAGACAGTACCTCATTCATTCTTACATGGACTTTGGCAGGTAAAGGCAGAGCCTGGGAGTCTCTGCTTTCCATGTGGCTCTTGGTTTTGTTCTGATACAGAGTTTTGATGCTTCAGTTCTCTCTTATTGCTCTTAAGTGAACCTGAACCTTTTATAAATGTTGAGTAAAGGGTTTTTATCCTTTTGGGAATTATGTTGGGTGGGACTTTAGGTTGCAAGTAAAAGAAACTGAATTCAATTTGGCTGAAGGAAAAATAGGGCACTTATTTTTCCCTGACAGAAATGTGGAGAGCCAGGGTTGATGCTCATCTTGCAGTTCTGTCCCTCAGGGCTTTTCCCAGGTGGGAGAGTGGTCTTCATCAGCAGCAGGCCTATTCATTGTAGAGGGAAGTCCCAGGGCCCTTTCAGGTAGCTTGCTTTTCTATCCTGGAGCTGAGGCTGAGATCAGGTCTCTCATAAAAGGAAACCAGGGTTGTATCATCAACAAAGGGTAGGAGGTGCTTGGGGGGCAAAACTAACATCTGGCGTTTCTGTTTGGTTGTCCTATTTCCCTAGTGTAGATGTGGGGTCACCTTTCCCAGCTTCATGCAGCTCCCTTTGGGGCATATACTGGATGGACCCTCCCCGTATTCAAGCAAGTCCCCGTGCACCCACCATATCACCAACAGTGGGTCCATTCTGCTGTGGCACCCATTACCTCAGATAGGTCCCCATGTGATGGTCTGGCCATCCTGTGGCTAAATGTTACTTGTAGGCCTCTGAATATCTTTTATGATTATCAGATACAATAATCACAATTATGAACCTCGGGGGGGGGGGCTGTGGTTGTAGCTCAGCAGTAGAGCGCTCACCTAGCATGTGTGAAGTTCTGAGTTCGATCTTCAGCACCATATAAAAATAAACAAAATAAAGATATTAAAAAAAAAAGTCCTTTAGGAAAGCGGGCAGCCACAATCCTGAGTAATAGAGGTTCCTGGTCAACTCATCTAGCAACCCTTCCCCCTCTGTTCTGTGTCCATTTGGGAAGATTCCTTCTGCAGTTGTGCCCTATACCTGCAAGCACCTCCTGCTGGTAGAGGTGACTTGGGCAACTAGGACTTAGTAGGTGTCATTTTTGGCTTTCTGATATGGGTTTTGGAACTTAGCAGTGTAGAGCACTTGTACTGGGTCAGGCCTCAGGCCAGAAGCAATAGTCAGAGCCAGTTTGAGTGAGCCTCAAGTTCCAGCTGCTCCAGGTTGTATATCCTGTTTCTTGGCTTACAGCCTCCACATGGGCTGGTTCTTTATCCTACATAGGATTACTCTTCTCCCAGGCCTGGACTTTGTACTTTGCTGTCCTGGTTAATATGGGACAAGTTTAGCTCATCTAAAGGGGCCTCTTTGCAAACCTGATCCCCTCCTCCCCTCCTTCTGCTTCCAAAGGGCTGCTCATAAACCTCACAGAAGGGCTTAGAAAGCTGCCAGCATCCTTCCATATGTTGACCCTCCCTTTCTGAATAGGTGCCTCATGGTCTGGCTTCCATTAAGTGGGATGGTCAGAAGAGTAGGTTCAGTGGCTCCTTGGCTCCTGTGGTGTGGGCTGTACCCCTTGAAGCCCAGCACAGGACTGGAGTCCTCCACACTCAACTCTTGTTTGGGGGCTTTATGCTGTAATATGTGCCCTCTAGATCTCAGTTCTTAGTAGAATTCTTGGTAGCCTCTGACTCATTCAAATGGTGGGAGGTGGTTAGAAGGACATAGGACAGCCCAAAAAATTGAAGGGGAAATGGCTTGATAGGTCAGTAAGGGTGCCTCCAAGGGTCATAAGTAAGGTCTGAATTGTCCATACTCTGTGCCTGCTGTGTGCCCATTAGCCCAGGTGTTGGGGAGGGTGACAGACAGATAAGGCAGTGCTTATGTGTTATTAGTGGGAGATTGTTATGCTAAATAGTTAATGTCACGGCAAAGATGGGCAAACAGAAATCAAATTGCTGGAACAAAAACTGGTGTCCTATAGTGCACCATCTTCCCTGTGTGCTTTCCTGAGCAAATATAGTGAGGCCTCTACTTGCTTTTAGGGAGCAGAGCTTGTACTGGCTTGCAATCCAGCAGCTTCCCACGGATCCTATAGAAGAACAGTTCCCTGTCCTGAATGTGACCCGGTACTACAATGCCAATGGGGATGTGGTAGAAGAAGAGGAGAACTCCTGTACCTACTATGAGTGTCATTACCCTCCCTGCACAGTGATTGAGAAGCAGGTACAGTGTGTAGCAATGAGGCCTTGGTTCCTGGCCACCTCACCCGCAGTTTGGTTATGGCATGGACCCAGTAGACCCTGGGTACTTCCCTAGCTTTCCACCAGGGTGGTTCTCCCTTTACTCTCATATCTGCCTAAGCGGGCCCAGGCCTTACAGCTCTGATGCTTGTTTTTTATGTTGGGTGGTTGGTTTGTGGTGCTGGGGCTGGAACCCAGAGCATTGCACATGCTAGGCAATTGCTCTGTGGTGGAGCTATATACCAGCCTGGCGGATGGGGTTTTGCCAAGTCTTTTCAGGTTCTGCCCCACACTGCTTCCCAGAAATGATGGTGAAGCCACATGTTCTGTTTCAGCTCCGGGAGTTCAACATCTGTGGGCGCTGCCAGGTGGCCCGGTACTGTGGCTCCCAATGCCAGCAGAAGGATTGGCCTGCCCACAAGAAGCACTGTCGGGAGAGGAAGCGTCCCTTCCAGCACGAGCTTGAGCCGGAGCGATGACGGGCAGCGGAGCTGCCACTGACGCGGGCCTGTGGCTTCGGGCTCTTCTGTGGGCACAGCAGAGACAGACAGTCGCTTGAACCTGGAGGTGCCAAAGAATCCAGTGGCAAGCCCAGAACAGCCACCATGAGTCTCCCCATGACACATGCTGTCTGTGGGGACAGTGCTCCTCCAGTGTTAAATGTCCAGCAGAGACAACGGGGAGGCTCCCCGGGACCTTTCTCATTATTTATATGTTAATATGTTTGTAAACTCATGTACAGTTTTTTTGGGGGGGAGGCAAGGGGAGGGTTAGAAACTACAAATAGGATCATTTGCTGTAAGCCTCAAATGGCAAATGGTCGGCCACAAGTCTAGAAACTCAATAGTGGAGCTTCTCTCCTGGGCAGTGGGGTCCCCACTGAGGGTGGCCTGCACGAAGTTGTGTTCTAAAGGACAGAGTAAAGGGTGGAATCATCTTCTGTCTCGGCTGTTCTCTGCTCCTCATTCCATCTGTTGAGGGCCAGGTGTATTTTTGAGTGGAATTAGCCAAGTGTTGTGGAATGACAGGACCTGCTGTGCTCTTCGTTGGCCTCTGAAGGAGCAGAGCATATCAAGCCTCTCTGGAGTCTGGCTGGGAGTGCAGTGAGACTTGGTCAGTAGGATCAGCGGGGGTGGTCTAAGAGGCCAGCCACCATTTCAGTAGCTATGGGATACATTAGATAGGAATTGGCCCTAGATTCTACCTTGCTTGAAGTGGGAGTTTCTTCCCAGAATGATGTGCACAGCTTGCCTAGCATGAAGTGAATGACACTTCTCCACCCATTGGCCCCCGGGACAGCCATCCTTCTCCCTTTGGGGGCTGCAGATGTCAGGGCTGTCCAGTGTGTTATCCATTTAGAGCCCCTCTGTTACTGGGATTTTGCCTTTCTTTGGGTCTAGTCAGCTGTCTTGCCCCCAGGCTCTTCCCATCCAACTGGGCATCATGTCCCTGGGCCCTGTGTTGGTCTGTAGGCTCTGCTACAAATGTCTCTTGTAGCATTTCTGCCATGTTCTAAGATGCCCTGTGTTCTCATGCTTGTTCCTGGCAGATCATAGCCCTTTGGTGGCCTTTGGCTTGTGAGAAAGCTCCTGTTTCTGCCACTGCCCCCCTTTATTTTAACTTTATGTGGTGCTGAGGATCAAACCCAGTGCCTCACATGTGCTAGGCAAGCGCTGTACGACTGAGCCACAATTCTGTGGCTTTTTTTTTTATTTATTGTACCTCCTGGAGGAGGAAGGACAAAGGAAAAGGTGATATTGAGCTGGGCATGGTGGTGTACACCTGTAATCCCAGTGACTTGGGAGGCTGAGGCAGGAGGAATGTAAGTTCAAGGTCAATCTCAGCAATTTAGTGAGGCCTTAAACTTAGTAAAATCCTGTCTGGAAATAAAAAAATAAAACAAAGGTCTGGGGATGTAGTTAAGTGCCTCTGGGTTCAGTTCCCATTACCAAAAAAAAGTGCAGGCACACATACACACCAAAAATAAGTCTTTAAATTGTGAATAAACCTCTTGTAATGTCCTTATCCAGTTTTGGTATCAGGATAATTTAATGTTGGCCTGGCTTAAAAAAAAAAAAAAAAAATAATGGTATTGCGTAATTCCTGAATGGCTTTCTGGACCATGAGAACTCCCATACATCCACAGGGGTTCTGCACCACAGATTCCCAATCCCTGTCCCTGACCTTTGCTGGGTAGTAGAGATCCCTGCTCAGACTACAAGTGGAACAGTAATGGGGGCTCAGAAAGCTGTTGGGGAGGGGAGCTATGTGTGTGCTGAGAGTGAACAGCAGCTGGCTGGAATCCTTGAGTGTCCCAGCGCTGGAGTAACCTTGCTTCCAATGTGTTGCCAGGACTGTTTGGGTGGGGGGATCCTGTATGGCTTGGCATGTTGTGTCTTGGATGTTCTTCAGGCATGGGGCTTTGCATTCCCCCAGGCAATCTGCTGTCAAAGGCTTAGAGAAGACAGTTGGCAAGCCTTGGTCAGCTTGTGTCCTTAGGGAAGTGGCCATGTTGGAACTTGAACCTGTCTGTGCCCTCTGACCAGCCAAGCTGCCTTGCTCTGCAGTTAGCTTTTTTATCCCCAAATTAAACTGGAAGTGCTCAGGTTCTCAAAACCAATCTGTAAGGGCTGTACTGATAAAGGGATGTATGTAGGTTTGGGGCTTGCCTGTGACTGCCTACCCCTCCCCTTATGCCCACTGGTACAGGTTTTGCTATGTAGGTGAGATGGGCCCATTTTCACTCCTTTGTGCTTCCCTGTGATCCTGACTTTTTGAAAATTTTTTAGTTTTCAGTGGACCTTTATATTTTATTTATATGTGGTGCTAAGAATCGAATCCAGTGCCTCACGTGCTAGGCAAATGCTCTACTACTGAGCCATAACCCCAGTCCCTGATCCTTACTTCTTGGTCCTTGTAACCATGTATCTGGGCTGTTCTAGGAGAAATTCAGGTGGTTCAGGTATGGGGCTTATTCCTACCTTCTCAGTGGTATGTTGGACTGCTATCTGGGAACTGACCTGGGAACTGTTCCTCAGAGTTGGATTTCTAACTACAGGCCCCAGCCACAAGGCGGGATGCCCAGATATTATGTGAATTTGTCTCCGTGTGTCTGCCTGGAGCTCCCATAACAGACTACTGTGAACCAAATGGACTAAAACAACAGGTTATTGTTTCAGGGTTCTGGAATCCAGAAGTTGAATAAGTAGCTGCCAGCACCACACTCCTTCAAGGGTGCTAGGGAAAGATGTGTTTCACTTGCCTCTCCTAGCACCAGTAGTCTCCTGGTCTGGTAGATGCCTAGTTCCAATGACAGTCTTCAAATGACACCCTCCACACACACCGGGGGAGGGTGTCCTGGCCTGGTCTTCCTCTGCAATGCGTGTCCACGTTTTCTTTTCCATAGACAACTGTTATACTGCATCAGGGCCCACCCTAAGGACCTCATTTTAACTTGATCTTTGTAAAGATCCTATTTCCAAAGGCCACATTCCGAGCCTCATGTGTGTCTGGGCAGGATTCTTACAACCCAATGTCCCTGACTTGCCTTCCTGAGTCTTTGGGTTCAGGGATTTTCTTGAGCAGCTTCAGCAGCTACTCAGCCTCCCACTAAGGGTCACATTACTCTCCTTACCAAACTGCTGCCTCCCTCCGCTGTTCAGCGCCAGGCTACCCCTCCCGCCCGCCGAGGGGCGGCATCGCCCAGCTCAACGTGAGGCGCGCCTTGCACCGGGTTCTCGCCGCGGTCCGCCTGCCTACAGGGGGCGCAGCACCCCGGTGGCTTCAGGCGGCCGGAAGTACTGCCCCGGAAGGAGTTGGCAGAGGCTGCGCTTGAGCGAGTGTGCTTGCGTCCTCGCCTCATGTGTCTCGCATCTTTCGGGGCTAGATGGCGGGCCGCTGTGCGCGGGTGCTGCAGGCCGTGGACACCGAGTTCACCGCGGACAGCGTGGAGTGGTGCCCGCTGGAGGGCTGCCGACACTTACTAGCCTGTGGCACCTACCAGCTGCGCAGGCCGGATGCCGCGTCCGGGTCCAAGGTGTGCGGGGCGGGAGGCGGCCACTAGCCTCCAGAAAACCACTCAGATTCGTGAGTGGCACAGCCCAGGCACACTGTTGGAATCTGCAGTAAAGATAAGAGTACCTGTTAGGATGATGCCTGCCCTCTGGAAGGGATCTCTGAGAACGGAACTGGCTGCTGAGAAGTGAGGGCGGACCAGGTCAGGACTCCCAGCGCAGTTAACCTAGCCATGCTGGGTCCTGTTGGTCCATATAGGCCCATGCTGGGTGGGGAGAGTTCACCTACTTATTGATCACATGCCAGAAGAGACACTTGACCCACTCAGGAAATTAAGGACTCTGCTTCCAGGCAGAGGGCCGCTTTGCCAGTCTTGGTCTACCTTTCGTAGTGGATCCGGTTTCCCAAATCTTGTGTTCTTGACATCTGTTGGGGGTAATCAGAGAATGTGCATATTTTGTAGGGTGGACTGGAGATTGAGGAGCCTCACGTCCGTTTAGGTCGTCTCTACCTGTACAGTTTCAATGAGGACAACTCTACTTCCTCTCTGGCTGAGGTCCAAAGAAGAGATACTGCTGCAATCCTGGACATGAAATGGTATGACTTTGATAGCAACCCCACCTGATCTGGAATTGGTCCTGAGCCTCTGCTCACCTAATCATGGAGTCCCATGCTTTGGCATCTTCATCAGGTAGCTGCTTCTGTGTCGTTCCACCTGCCAATGGGCATGTGGCAGGCACTTTTCTTGGGCTATCTCCCTATCAGTTTCCCATTCCCAGAGTCAGAATCAGCCTAGTAAGCAATGAGAATTGTGATTTTATGAGCTGGGAAACTTTTTGTATGGGAGCAGGATTATAAGCTCTAGCTTGGTTAGAGATTTGAAATTTAAATAATAAATTACTGGAAAGCACAATGTCCCTCTCTTCTGGTGTGTGTCCTGTGTTCTCATGTGTGAGTTCTCTCCAGGTGCCACATCCCAGTGGCCGGCTCAGCGCTCTTGGGCTTGGCAGATGCCAGTGGATCTATACAGTTGCTCCGCCTGGGGGTATCTGAGGTCAGTGACAGGCCAGGCTTTGTGGGGGGAGGAGACTGGAGGGGGTTGGGAGGGGGCTGTGCCTGTGCAGATGCTTTCCTAGAATGGTTCCTTTAATGCTGGACTGTGTCATCAGTGTTGTAAGAAGCCATGGGGTCACTTTTAAATTGGACAGGGGTCTGGTGAGAGGAGGTTATTACCTTAGTGGCTCAGCAGAAGGGCTGAAGTGACAGGTTGTTCACACACAGTAGATCTGAGGGTTCTGTAAGGAAAGCTGGGTAAGCATGCCTTGGGTTGATACTGGGACTAAGAATAATGGTGACTTTCCCAGGTAAAAACATTTGGGAGAGTGTGTGAGCCCCACATGAGGTTTTCTAAGTGGTTTACGGTGATCCAGTGCCGTGGTTTGCAAAATGATTTAATGATTGTTGTAGGAAGAGGGAGACGGTAGATGTCATGTGGAATGACACCAACAGTCCACAGCCTACACTCTCTGCCTATGGGAGGAAGGAACATACCCCCATGCAGGTGCTGCAGTGGGACCAGAGCAGAAGCCCAGCTGGCGTTGATTTGTGATAACTCAGGGCCTTGTTTCTGACCTGCTCAGCAGGAGCTGGTCCTAGAAATGAGGGGAAGAATGTCTGAGGAAGACTGGGCCCAGGGACCATGTTCCAGGCGGGAGCACATACACCCAAGACAGGACTGTAGTGCAGTAGCCTGCTAAGGGCTTCCTGAAGGGGCTGTTTAGATACTCGCACTCACACAGCCACACATGATGGCACGTTCCTACAGTCCCAGGTACATGGGAACCTGAGGTGGGAAGATTGCTTGCATTCAGGGATTTAAGAACAGTTTGTATAACCTAGCAAGGGCCTTTCTCAAAAAAAGAAACTCACATAAATCTTAGACAAGAGAACTAACATTTTTAATTAAATTTGGTATTGGGAATTGAACCGAGGTGCACTTAAACACTGAGTCACATCTCCAGACCTTTTTAATTTTCATTTAGAGACAGGGTCTCACTAAGTTGCTTAGGGCCTTGCTAAGATGCTGAGGCTGGCTTTGAACTTGTGATTTTCCTGCCTCAGCCTCCTGAGTTGCTGGGATGGCAGGTGTGTGCCACTATATCTAGTGAGAAGTAGCATTTTAATGGCTGTTATGTCTTCTGAAATGAAAAGCAGAGGAAAGCTCTTATTGTCCCTGCCTCTTGGGACAGAGTTGCCAGGACCTTAGGAGGCCTGGGATGGTGCAGAGTATGTGTCAGGCATGGTTCTTGAGCGTGGAGACAGCAGATGTGCTTGAGTGTCCAGGTGGCTAAGAGACCATGCCCCGGGTCAAGAGTGTGGAGACATCTCGAGGTGTGAGCTCCAGCATCCTCAGTCCCTTCCTGTGCCTGGCTCGTAGCAGGTGTTCCAGTCTTGTGTAACTGTGTACCAGTAGCTGATGGCTGTGTTTCCATGGGAGGGCGCAAGGGAGCATGTTTGCCTGGACAGGGGAGTTCCTTTCTTTCCAGTAGAAGAGCAGCAGCCTGTTGCAGCCAGTGTCCAGTGTCATCCTGGAGGAGCAGTGCCTGGCCTTGTCCCTGGATTGGTCCACTGGGAAATCCGGAAGGTAAGTGCCAGGAAGTCCTCAAGTCATTCCTCTGATAATTGAATTTCCTATTTTCAGGCCAGAGAGAGTTTTGAGCCTTGATTCCCTGTATTTGGGAACATCACTACCAATCCTAATTTTAAAAAAAATCATTCCATCTTGGATAAATGGCAATAAAGTTTTCCTCAGAGAATGCAACACTGGTTTCTGTGATTACCCAATGGCAGATACCCAAGCAAGCCTTGAGGTGTGTCCATATGCCAGAGCTTTGGAGAACCTCACCTGGGACTTGGTTGTGAACCAGAAGAGGGTGGAGAGTGTGCTCATTGGGCTTCTCCATCGGTTCTACATGTTTAGGGCCAGTGACCAGCCCTTGAAAATCATCAGCAGCAACTCCAAGGGGCAGCTGCATTTCCTGAAGGTGAATGAATCGGGGCCTGGGCTACAGCATGTCGCCTCCTGGCAGGCCCATCACTTTGAGGCCTGGATCGCTGCTTTCAATTACTGGCAGACAGAAGTGGTATATTCAGGTCAGTGTTTCTGCACAGGGTCTTGACCCACTTGCCTCTGACAGGAGACTTGGGAGGGAGGGAGGGAGGGTATGAGGCTTGGCCCAGGGCCAAAGTGCTGGGTGTGCTGGACTCCTGAGGGCATTGTGTGGAGAGTGTCTTCTGGGACAGCAGCTGGCACTGGTGCCACTTCCTGTTCCTTAGCAGGCTTCGGGCATCACAAGTCTTGGGTGGAGCAGGTACCTGTGGAGCTGTCCTGCCTCCATGGCACTCAGTACCAAATCCTCTCTGAGTCCCGTTTCTTGCTTGATATCTGTTGACTTTGTCGTGTTGGGTTTCAGGTCTCTCCTTTCTGGGTATAGCTCACCTTCCAAAAGAAAAGGAAATATGAGAGGAATAGGGTGACTTCTTTGTCTTTTTGAGTGATTTGTACTTTGGGATGCTGATGTGGGAAAGACAAATTGATAGAACTCGGCATTTGGGTAGCTTCTCCCAAGGGGTAATTCGAGGGAGCGTGGAAGAGTTGGGCTCTGAAGAACAGAACAAAGTACACAAGAAAAGACCTGTTCTGGTTTCTGAGCTCCACCTGGCTGGTAGCAGTGGCTGCAGTCCTGGTGCAGTGCAGTGCAGTGCAGTGCAGGGCAGTTCTTTTAGGCTGTCAGAAACTGCACAGCCTCCTCCACTAACTCTCTGGCCCAGGTCTTTACTGGTCCGTAGCTCTCAGCCTAGTGCTCCCAGCCTCGCTGGGCAGTCTCCCTGCACATTTGCCATGCCTCACCCTCTGCTGTGCACCTCTCCGGTGTCTCTGGGATAGCCCTCCTTTCTGCTTTGCTCCTCTTCTTCCGCACAGAAGGGTTGGTTTCATCTGGCATGTCTGGATCCTTTTCTCACTCTCTGTCTTTGCTTTCCTTGCCTCAATTACTGTTTTCTCAGAAGCAACCACATTTTTATTGCTTTTTATTCTGAGCTCAATCCATTTTTCTTGCTGGCAGGCAAGATGTTTCTGCTACCTAGAACTGAGCTCATTACATCCGACCTCTCCTCCCTAGCATCTGTTGAGGGGGATGGTCTTTGGGTTCTGATCTGAAACCAGTAAGCCATTACCAACTCCTCTGCTCCTCACCTCCCGAGAGTCCCAGTCCTAACTAGTTTTATCTTTCTTATTTTTGGTTGCAGATGGATACAATATCTTTATTTTATTTATTTTTATGTGGTGCTGAGGGTCCAACCCAGGGCCTCACACATGCCATGCAAGCAAGTGTGCTACCACTGAGCCACAACTCCAGCTGTGATTTTATCTTTTGAGCATCCCTTGGAATTGGCCACCTTTTGCTCTTTTCCTGGCAGAACTGTGCAGGCTGTGGTCTCATCTAGCTGTCTGCAGCAGAGCACAAGTGATGGCCTAACATCCATTCTGTCCCTTCCTAGGTCAAAATCATAAAAAACATAAAGACCTTATCACATCTTACAAATCGTCCCCTTTGCAGTTCCCATTTCTTTTAGGATAAAATCCAAAATACTTAATCAAAACACTTAACCCAAAATACTTAATCTAATCAGTTTTCCCAAGACCTTGTGTTATCTGGCTGGTGCTTATCTCTCTTCTCTATTCTGAATGAGGTATCTGTGTGCTTCATCATCTCTCCTGAAATGTTCCATTTTCTCTCTGGGTCTTGATGTTTCATCACAGTGTTTCTTCCAGAGATTGCTTCCACTTTTCTGGCATGCTCAGCTTAAAGTCTTTGAAGAAGCCCGTGTAGGACACCCAGCCTCACCAACCAGGTCAGGCCTGGTCCTGCACTGCTGTTGTCATGGTACCCTTTGCTCATCCCACTTAGGATGATATGCTTCGCGTTCAGTTTTCCTGAGGGAGAGTCCTTATCTGTGTTATATGTATCATATCCTTGAACAGTTCTGAGACCAAAATTCTTTTTTTTTTTAGTTCTCTCCATCTTGGATTAGTTCCTCTGCCTTGGGGCTTAGCTAATTCAGAGCAGGGGGTGTGGGAGGGGACAATGACCTAATAGTTCAGGACTAATTCAATCATTCAACCAATATACTTTTTTATGTTTATTTTTTAGTTATAGATGACACAATATTTTTATTTTTATGTGGTGCTGAGGATTAAACCCAGTGCTTCACGCATGTTAGGTGAGTGCTCTACCTCTGAGCCACAACCCCAACCCCATCATTCAACCAATATTTACTGAGCACTTAAGATGTGCGAGGCTCTGTACTGGATGATAGGGTCATCAGTGAACAAAACAGACCGAAGTCCCTGCTTTCACTGTGCTTCTGTTGAGTGGGAAAGATGGAAGATACAAAGTACGATGTATAATAAATGAGGAAATTGCACAGCACATCAGAGGCAGCAGTGCTTCTGCCTCAGTGGTAGCCTGAAACCATGCAGGACAGTCACCAAGGCTTCACAGATTCCTCCCTGAGAAGTGGCCATCCCCATCACCAGGTCCTCTGCTGATATGTTGCTTTTGTCCACACAGGGGGGGATGATGGCCTTCTCAAAGGCTGGGACACCAGGATGCCTGCTGTGTCCATCCTCACCAGCAATAGGTAATTGGCCAGGGGGCAACTCACATGCATTCCCTCCCCAACCATTGCCCATAGGCCTTCCTTGCCCCCACCATCCCTTGCTCAGGAGCACTCTTTCCCTGCAGACACTCCATGGGTGTGTGTAGCATCCAGAGCAGTCCCCATCGGGAGCACATCCTGGCCACAGGAAGGTGAGTGCAAGTGAGGTCATGGGGGCCTTGCATTTCCCACCTTTCCACCTGGGTATTGTGGCGCGCAGTCTGCCCACCCTCAAGCCACAGTGCAAGGTTGGGTCAGGGGCCTTTGTCCTCCAGGGATGAGTGGGGTGGGTCTCCTGGGAGGTGTTCCCTGCTGCTGCCCTCTTCCCTTGGAGAAGTGAGGTCACTGGTTGCCTGGTTCTAGCTATGATGAGCACGTGTTGCTGTGGGACACACGGAGCATGAAGCAGCCGTGGGCAGATGTGCCTGTGCAGGGTGGCGTGTGGAGGCTCAAGTGGCACCCGTTCCACCACCACCTGCTCCTGGTGGCCTGCATGCACAGTGGCTTCAGGATCCTGAGTTGCCAGAAGACCACAGGTGAGTGGGAACCTGCCAGTCTCCTCCCCAACCTCTGCATGATCCCAGACTACACCAGCTCTTACTGCTGCCCCTCACTGCCTGTGCAGGACTGCAGGTTCAGCACCTGGTTCCTCTGACCCCACCAGGACCGTGCCCAGGAGGTTTACTGTCTGACACCCTCACGTCTATATGGCACACCTCCTCCGTTTTTCCTTCTGGTGAACAGCTTGACCCTGTTATCTCAGTCCCATATGTGCTGAAAACTCTTTCCCTTTCTCACAACACCTCTGCCTGGCCTCTTTGTTCTTGTGCCCTTCTCAAGCCGCAGGGCCCCTTTCCCCTCCTCACTCAGCTGTGACCTCCCCTACCTCCCCTCCCTGCCTAAAAGCAGGGGCTTCTGCCCCAGAAGGAGCAGGCAGACCATCCTGGCTTATGCCACTTGGTCATCGTCCCTAGGGTGCTACCCTGTACCCCTGCCTCCTCCATTTACTCCCAGGCAGGCTCGTAGCCTGCATAGCCATACTCAAGACCTGGCTCTGTAGCTTGCCCTTCTCCCCCGCAGCTCCTCTTCCTGTCTCTCCTCACTGTTTCTGTTGTGCCCTGAGGCTTAAGGTCATCTTAGTGATGGGGGCACCCACAGTGCCACTTGTCCTCCTGAGCCTGTTCTTGCCCATCTGTACATTTTGGTTTGTTGAACCTTTCCTTATACTGCTCTGCAGGTACTTCCTCATTTCCCTGATTCTTTTTTTTTTTTTTTTTTAATACCAGGGATTGAACTCAGGGGGCACTCAAACACTGACTCACGTCCCCAGCCCTGTTTTGTATTTTATTTAGAAACAGTGTCTCACTGAGTTGCTTAGGGCATCGCTTTTGCCTCAGCTTCCCAAGCCCCTGGGATTATGGGAGTATGCCACCGTGCCTGTTCTCCCTGATTCCTTTTGACCATTAAGTCGTTTCAGTAGCCTGTTAAACATTTCTGTGAGGTGTACCTATTTTCTTACTGAAGAAAGCATTGTGGATTTTCTTTTAATTTATGGGTTGTCCTGGGGAGTGGTCAGTGTACTTCAGCAGAGTGTGTCGCCTATTTCTGTCGATTTTTGCTTCATGTGTTTTGGGGCTTTGTTTATATGTTATGATTGTGTGTGTCTCACTAGGGATTAAACTTGGCTTCACGCTAGCAAAGCACTGTACCACTGAGCCACATCCCCATCCCTAGCTCTTTTTTTTTGAGACAGGGTCTCGCTGAATTGCTGGGGCTGACTTTGAACTTGCAATACTCCTGCCTTAGCTTCCCAAGTTTCTAGGATTATAGGTGTGTGCCACCGCGTGTGGTCTGAGGCTTTGTTTTAGGTTATGTATGTTTATAATTCTCGTATCTTCCTCATGTGCTGACTCTTCTAGCATTACAGTGTCCTATATGTCTGGTAACTTTTTTGGTACTAGGGCTTGAACCCAGAGGTACTTTATCACTTGAGTCCAGATCTTTTTGAAACTTAATTTAATTTATTATTATTTGATATTATTTTATTTTTTGGTTCTGGGGATTGAACCAAGAGTTCCTTAACCACTGAGCCACATCTGTAGCTCTTTTTTTTTTTTTTTAAAGAGAGAGTGAGAGACAGAGGGGGACAGAGAGAGAGAGAGAATTTTAACATTTATTCATTTTTTCTTAGTTCTTGGCGGACACAACATCTTTGTTGGTATGTGGTGCTGCTGAGGATCGAACCCGGGCCGCACGCATGCTAGGCGAGCGCGCTACCGCTTGAGCCACATCCCCAGCCCCTGTAGCTCTTTTTTATGTTTTTAATTTGAGATAGGGCTTTTCTAAGTTGCTGAGGCTGGTCTTGAATCTGTAATCCTCTTGCCTCAGTCTCCCACTGGGATGACAGGTGTGTGCTACCACACCCAGTTTTTATTTTGAGACAGGGCCTTAGTAAGTTGCTCAGGCTTGCCTTGAATTTGTGATCCTTTTGCCTCAGCATCCCAAGCTGCTGGGATTAGAGGTTAAAGGATGTTTTCTTTATCTTCATTTTATTATTTTTCTTTCAAGTGCATAAACACATTAGCAATGTTCTAGAAGTTAAAACTAGACAAAAAGTATGCTCCAGAGAGTCTCTTTTCCTCTTCTTTCCCTTTTCCTTTTTCTATTCACTTCTTATAGGTAAGCAGTGTTATTAGTTTATGGTTATAATTGTGTCTTTTTGCAAAAATAAGCATTTTTTTTTCTTATTTTTCCACTCTTATAATGTGGAACATAGCATTTTATGTATGCTTTTGTGTGTGTTGAGGGTGGTCCTGGGATTGAACCAAGGGCCTCACACATGCTAGGGAGGTACTCTACCACAGAGCTGCAACTCCAGCACTTTTTGTTTTATTTGAAGATAGGATCTCACTGTTGCCCAGGCTGACCTGCTTGTGATCTTCCTGCCTGAGGCTCCTGAGTAGCTGGGATCACAGGCGAGGCCAATGCACCCTCCTACACCACCTTTGTTCTTTACTTACTTCTTTTAAAAATGTCATCAAGCAGGGGGCTGGGGCTTTGGCTCACTGCTTATTTCTCGTGACCTGCTGGCTCTGCTCTTCTCTGTTGTTGGCATGTGTGAGGCACCACATAAAAATAAAATAAAGGTATTTTGTCCATCTATAAGTAAAAATATATAAAAGAATAAAAGATAGGTGCATTGGCAGTGTCTATCTAGTCCCAGCACTCAGGAGGCTGAGACCAGCCTGGGGGCCTGGGGGTGTGGCTCAGTGATAGAGGCCTGCCTTGTGTTTGAGGCCCAGGCTCCATCCCACTCAGCAGAACACACTTTAGGTCTTGGTGCCCTCCACGTGGCCCCTGGTGCACTGCACATGGCCTTCCAGCTCTGAGTGGGCTTAGGTTGCTCCAGCACCTCACAGGGCACTCATCTTCTAGTGCACCTCCTCTTGCTCAAGCTGTTTCATGGGAGAAGGGTTTTAGGGTTGCCCCCAGAGGGAGATGGCAGAGTCAGAGGTTGGATACAAGCTGGGTTTTACCAAGCACTGCCATCTTGCAGACAGCCAACTTTGGGACCTTTATCATCTGACGGTGAGAAATGTCATCTCAGTAGTTCAAAATTTCATGTCTCCAATTGCAAGTGAAATTGTACATTTTTCTTATGTTGAAGGACTGGTTTTGTAATTTTGGTCCTTGAATAATCTTTGTATGTGTTTTGTTTCCTTTTTCCTCTGGTTTCTAATCTTTTTTACCTCTCAGTTTTAGAGTTTTTCTTTTTCTTTCTTTTTTTTTTCAACCTACTGAGGATTTTAGCTCTAACTGTGGAATGGGTTAGAAATTTGTCTCTGTTCTTGATTTTGCCATTGAGGTATTTTTTCTCCATGTAAAAGATTTTTTTTTAAACAAAATCTAATCATATTTAACAATTTTGGGAGTTTGCTTTTCTTTTTCTTTTTTTTTGGGGGGAGGAAGGTGCCAGGGATTGAACCTAGGGGTGCTTAACCACTGAGTACATCCCAGCCCTTTTTAATTTTGAGACAAGGTGTCTCCTAAATTGCTTAGGGCCTCACTGAGTTGCTGAGGCTGGCCTTACACTTGAGGTCTTCCAGGTTCAGCATGTCCTGGATCGGGTCTCAGCCACCATCAGGGCTCAGCCCAGTCTTTGGCTCCCTGCCGAGGGCTCTGCCTCACTTCACTGGAGGTGTGTTTCTTCCAGGTGGCATGGAGCTGGCCTTGCTGTGAGTACAGTGTGGTGCTTGTCTGCATGGGTGGCTGGCTGTGCACACTGGCAGCTAGGCTGCTCTGATACCCACTCTTCACCTCTCAAGTCGCTGCCACTTTGGGTGTCATTGGCATACTCACTGCTTGTTTCTCTGTGACCTGCTGGCTCTGCTCCTCTCTGTTGTTCTAAGTGTTTAGGGGAGTTGTGCTCTTGTGGTGCTGTCTTCATGCTGATATTCTAATGAGCTCTGAATGCCTCTGGATCCTTTTCCAAACAGGCTGGCCACGTTACGCGTTACACGAGTTGGTCCTCCTTCCTGCCACCCACAAAACAGCACTGAGTTTATTCTGCCTCCCACTGCTCTTCCCATTTTTAGTGGCTTTTTTCCCCTATTCAACACACTTTTACATCATCATATAAAGATGCATATTTCTTGCAGTGCTGGGGATCCCAGGACCTGGCACGTGTGCGCTAGTGTTTTTCCTTCTTTGCTTCACCTACTTTTTCTCCATCTCAGTTCATGGTGGAGGACTCTCAGTGCCTGCCCTGATAAGGGCTGGCAGCTTGTGGTCTTTGTGGGCAGAGTTAGTTTGGGTAGCCTTTTCAGAAAGGCTTGGGGTGGTGCTCCTGGAAGGCTCTTTGCTTCTTTGTGTAGCCTTGATTCTTGAAGGGAAGACTGCTGGTAAGATTTTGACTCACTTTCTTTGCTTGAATCTTTTGAAAATATATATTCCTGCATTGCTTGGCTTGCTGCTTTAGGAGTCTGATGGCTGCTGTAAGTAGTTTGCTTTTTCCTGATTGGAGGGGAAAAAAAGCAGTTTTTTAAAAAACTGCTTTTAATAAAAATTTTAAATGGTATAACATAAAATATGCCACTTTAACTTTTTTTTTTTTTTTCCTCCTAACCGTCCTGGGGATGGGACCTAGAGCCTCCTGTGCATACTGGGCCAGCGCTTTCCTGCTGAGCCCCCACTGCAGCCCAGCCATTTTAAATGAACATTGCATAGCCATGGCCACTGCTCATCTTGTGACTCCCACCAGCTGCTCTCTGCTTGTCTGATTGCCTGCTGTAGGTACTTGACTCAGTGGGGTCAGAAGGATCAGGCCTTTCATAAACTCTTTCACTTGGCTTCTGAACTTTTCTGGATTCATCCTTTGCATCAGGAGCCAGAACTTCTTAAAGGCTGTTCACACATTTGTCTGCTGACATGTGGGTGGTTTCTACCTTGCCACTGTATTCAGTTTTTTTCTTAATCCTTCAAGCTGAATGATTTCACTAGGGGTCTGTCTCAGACTTCAGTATTCCAGGTTGATTTTGTCATTACGTTGTTGGCTGTTCTGGGAGATGTTTGTGGTTCACAGTTTTGAATGTTAACTGTTTCATTATTTCCTGCCTGGTGGAGCCCCCTTTTCTGGACATGAATGCTTAGTGAATTTAAATTGCAGAGCACTCTCACCACACTGGTCCCTCCCCTGCACTGTTCTTGGTGGCACTTGCCCCTAAAAGGTGTCTCTGTCCATTCCTTTACTAGCTCTCTGAGGGCACAGCTTATTCTGAATCTGTAGAAGGTGATTTTGCCAGGAACTGGTGCTATGTTTGCTGGATGAGGGCTGTTGGGGTGGGGGTCCTTACTGCCCAGGGGAGGGGAGGTCTCTGGGACAGCCTCCTGGGAGTGTTCTCCCCAAGGTCAGCCCATATCATTGCCCAAGGGCCCTGCCACTGTGTTTGCTCTCTGGAGCCACCTCTGCCCTGTGAAGGCCCTGGGCTGTAGTGCCGTCCTGGCCTTCCTTCAGTGTTCATTATGCTTCTGGAGCACATCACTGTGCACTATAACTCCCTGTACATCAAAGGTAGTGGCAATGGCACTTTCTGAGTTGTGACTTAACATCTAAGCTGACTAGAAGCCTGAGTGATGGCTGGCAGTTTTCCCAGTGGGCACCTTAGCTCCATTCTTCAGGTTCTTACAGCTGCTCTTATTGGTGTGGCCTTCTCCTGGGCTGTGGACCTGTTCCCATTTGGCCACACTTCCTTCCTTTCTCTAGAGGTAATCCTCTTCCATGCCACCATGGCTGTGCACTGTGGGAACACTGTTGGCCTCTTCCCAGCCCTGCCCCACCCTCCAAGCTGCCCTAGGAACAGCTTGGAAGGAAATCATAAATAAACTTCATATGGACCTTCCTAGGGAATGCACAGTCTGCTTGCTGTGGAGCTTTGGCCGTAAGTTACCACTAGCATAGTGCGGCCAGGGCCCTTCACTTGCAGTTCCTTGCACATGCCATGGCCTTTCTGGCCTCTGTACCCAGCACACAGTCCCCTTTGCCTTGTCTCTTCCCATTTGGTTGGCTCATTTTTCCTTTAACCTTTGCTTTTCATTACCCCCCCCCCCAAACACCCCGTGTTGGGGATCCAACCCAGGGGTGTTACCACTGAGCTACACCCCCAATTCTTTTTATTTTCAGACAGGGTGTTGGCTAAGTTGCCCAGGCTGTCTTCAAACTTGGAATCCTCCTGCCTTGCTAGGATTACAGGCATATGACACTGCACCTGGCTCCCTCCCTTTTCAATTTTGAAGGTTTTGCTAGTTGCTTAGGCTAGCCTCACACTTGTGATCCTGCCTCATCCCCCCGGGGTGTGCACCACCACACCCACCTGCTTTAAGCCTTCAGTGGGGCAACCCCCAGAGCAGCTTTTGTTGGACTCTCCAGTTAGGAGAAGGCACCTACGCATGTGGTTCTGTAGCCCTGGCTGTTCCTCTCTGAGGTTCATCCTGATGGTTTCTCTACAGACACGCTGACTGCTCTGAAACTTCCCTTTGAGGGTAGATGGGGCTGTCAGTAGGGACGATCAGCTCCAAGTAACACTGTGGTTCCTGTTCTGTCTTGCTCCAGAGAAGCAGGAAGTGGTGGTCATGGCATCCCACACGCTGCCCAACTCACTGGTATATGGGGCCGACTGGTCCTGGCTCCTCGCCCGTTCCCTGCAGCCTATTCCCTCCTCCTCCTTTCCTCTCAGCGAAGTGGGAGCCAGACTGGCAGACTGGGCCTACGGCCTAAAGCTTGTAAATACATCACCAGCAACCTCCCTTCAAGCTATGGTAGACGACGACGACGGGGAGGGCCATGCCAGATCCCAGCCAAAGGCTTCTCTACTGGACAGGAAGAGTGGCAGCCAGAACTATGACTACAGCTCCTACCCAGAAGGGATGAACTTGGATTCCAGCCTCCTGGCCACCTGCTCCTTTTATGACCATGTTCTTCACCTCTGGAAGTGGGAGGCCAGCTGAGCATGAGGTCACTAAGACCCTTCCCAGCTACACCAGGAGCGACTTCAGGAGTTACAGTCCTTCCTGCTGGGCCACTGCATGATGTCTGGCAGTGATTGGGGTTTTCCATCTCCAAAACTCATAGTTTCTCTGGTAGTTTGAGCTCAGCCCTTCATATGTGTTTAAGCATTTGTATTGATTAAATGAATCTGTTTTTGGGGAAAAGTTACTTTATCACATCAAAAGTAATTATATGGGCTGGGGTTGTGGCTCAGCAGCAGAGCACTTGCCTAGCATGTGCGAGGCTCTGGGTTTGATCCTCAGCATCACATAATAAACAAATAAAAAAATAAAGGTATTATGTTCAACTACAACTAAAAAATATTTTTTTAAAAAAAGTAATTATATTCCAGGCATGGTGGTACATGCCTGTAATCCCAGTAGTTTGGGAGGCTGAGGCAGGAGGATTGGGAGTTCAAAGCCAGGCTCAGCAACTTAGCAACTCAGTGAGAACCTGTCTCTAAATAAAATGGTAAAAAGGGCTGAGAATATGGCTCAGTGGTTAAGCACCTCAGGTTCAATCCTCAGTTATCAAAAAAAAAAAAAAAAAGTAATTTTAAAACTCAGAAACTTGTACTGAGGCACAAACCCAGGGCCTTGCCCCTAACAGGCCAGTACTCTAGCACTGAGTTATATTCCTGGCCTGGAAGTAATTTTAGAACATGAGAAGGCTACGCACATGCTTATAATCCCAATGACTCAGGATCACAAATTGAAAGCCAGCTTGAGTAATTTCGTGAGACCTCATATAAAAGAGGGAAAAAAGAAAGTTGGGGGAATGGCTTAGTGGTAGAGTACCCTTGAGCTCAATCCCTGGCACCACAGAGGGGGAACAATCCTCCGATCACATGGTAGAATGAAAGGTGAAGAGGGGAGAAGATGTGTGTACATTCTGAGCCACGTTGGTTATAAAGTGACAATGGGGACTGAGGTTGTGGCTCAGTGGTAGAGTGCTCACCACATGTGAGGCCCTGGGTTCAATCCTCAGCACCACATATAATAAAGATATTGTGTCCAACTACAACTGAAGAAATTAAAAAAAAAAAATAAAGCGACAGTCGGCGTCACTAATCATTTCCTCTTAGTGGCAATAAACAGATCAGCTTCCATGTCCTAAACTGTCATCTCCTACTTTTTTTTTTGGGGTAGGGGCAGTACCAGGGATTGAACTCAAGGGCACTGAGCCACTCCCTAGCCCTATTTTGAATTTTATTTAGAGACGAGAGACTCACTGAGTTGCATAGGACCTTGCAGTTGCTGAGGCTGGCTTTGAACTTGCTATCCTCCTGTCTCAGCCTCCCAAGCTACTGGGATTACAGGCATATGCCACCACGCCCACCTTTAATATTTAGTTGTAAGTAGACACAATCCCTTTATTTTTATGTGGTGCTGAAGATCAAACCCAGTGCCTCATCTGAGCTAGGCGAGCATTCTACCACTGAGCCACAACTGTAGCCCCAGGACCTCACTTTTGCTGAGATTAGTTTTGGAGTCACTGTCCTCCAACCTCAGCCTCCCAAGCTGTTGGGATTATAAGCATGGACCACTGTGCCCAGCTAGCCTTATGTTTTGGTGGCACACCCCCATATGCCAGCAAAAACCAAAGTGGTCATGACACATTTTTCTACCTTAAAAGGAACAATCCCTGTTGGTGGCCAATTTATTGTTTTTTTTTTTTTTTTTTGGTACCACAGACTGAACCCAAGGGCACTTTGCCATTGAGTTACATCTCTAGCCCATTTTATTTTTCATTTTGAGACAGGGTATTAGTTGCTTACAGTCTCACTAAATTGCTAAGGTGGGCCTTGAATTTAGGATTCTCCTGCCTCAAAGCCTTCCAAGTCACTGGGATTACAGGTGAGCCACACCCAGTTGCTGCCAATTTAGAGTTTGTGTAAAGAGATTTCATGTGCCTGGTGCAATGACGAACACCTGTAATCCCAACATTTTGGGAGATTGAGGCTAGAGGATTGCAAGTTCAAAGCTGACCTCAGCAAAAGTGAGGCACTAAAAAAACTGAGACCCTGTCTCTAAACAAAATACAACATAGGGCTGGGGATGTGGCTCAGTGGTTGAGTTCCCCTGAGTTCGATCTGCTTCTGTGGGATTATTAATGGTAAAGCACCATCTCCTCTTAGGCTGGCTTTTCAGCTTTTTCTGCTCAATTAAAGCCTGTGCCATAGTGGAGCGTGCCTGTGCCAAAGTGCCGGGTAATACTAGACCCGGCACTTTGGCACGCTGGGCGTGGTGGGTGCGGTGTAGTCACACCCAGTTGCTAAGGCAACTGTAGCCTAGCGGCAGCCCTTATCTCAATCCACAGCTGGATAGAGTACTAGACATGTTCAGGGGAAGACACCACAGGGGTGGCAAAACCCATCACAGGAGGAACAGAAGGGGGCGTCACAGGAGGAACAGAAGGGGGCGTCACAGGAGATTCAGGAGGTTGTACAGAAGGTTCCCGCCATTTCCAAGACGGAAATTCAACACCTTCCACGTGAGGTTTTAGAACATGTATGGTTCAGCTAAATCTTAAATGAAACAGATCTGAAGGCCTAACTCAGCAGAGGAGAGAGACTAGTCAACAGAGCCCAGTTTGACACCAGTTTGCATGTGGCTTCATCTTTAGGTTTCCCCAAGGAGGCAGTTATTTTCACCCGACCAATTGCTTGGGATCCCAAAAGGAACATGATAGTTTTGATTTTGGGGGTGAATTCACCAGCTTTATCTGGTTCATGCAGCCTTATAAATTTTTACTGGTATGGGCTGAGTGATGAGCACAAACCTGACTTCTAAAGTTGCATGGACTCTGTTATGCAGCACACATTCCACCACCTGATGCCAACCACACACTGCACAGGGTAACACTTTTTTTTTAAGTTGTAGATAGACACAATTTTTTTTTTTTTTTGACATGGTGCTAGGACCAAACCCAGTGCCTCACACATGCTAGGCAAGTGCTCTACCACTGAGCTTCAGTCCCAGCCCAAGTAGCACGCTTTTAATAGAAACAGGATGGAGAAACTGCCCCATACTCCTCCAGGAACTCAAGATCACAAGCTGGGTCAGAGCAGCCTCTAGTTCCAAGGCAATCTACTTTCTAACGTGGGAAATTCTTGGGATATAGCTGGAAGAGCTTGCCCTCCTGTGTGGGCTCAAAGCCGTACTTTTCCAGGTTGTCAGGACTGAAAGTGCCTTCTTTAAAGTCCTTTTGGATAGCAGGTGCAACTGTTTCCAGGAAGAGTGCTTTGGCAGTCAGTGGTGTGTCTGTGCCTGCAGGAGCTCGGTAGTTCACATAGGGCTTGAGCTTGAAGCCAGTCAAGTCTGGGACAACAAATTCTGGGACCTTTTCCTTTATCTGCACAAACTTCCAGCCTGAGGCACGGATGCCTGTGCCCTTGGCGCCCCGTCCCTTGTTAAAGGTGCGCGGCCCTCGTTTACTGGTCCACTTGCTCATCCTGTCTGCTCCCCGCACCAAGCCTTGAGTCACTGCGGTCAGGAAACCCATGACGTTCCCTGCAGGAAACAGCTTTGAAAGGTCAGCACCGAGGATGGCTGAGAAGACCCCGGACCGTGTGGTGGAAAACCTGGACTCAACCCCGAGGGGTAGAGGATCCAGGTCGGATCCTCCTTGAACAGCCACCCCATAATACCCCTGTCCCCGCGGGCGTAGAGGGCCCGGACCCCACACCCGGGGACTGGAGAGGAACCGGAAACAGACCCCGCGGGCGGAAAGGACGCAGCACCCCCTGGAAACGGACGGACCGACCTGAGCTGGCGGCTCTTGAGCTCGGCCTCGCGCTCCCACTCTGCCTGCGACAGTTCGGGCAACTAGCCCCCGGCCTGAGCCAAAACAAGTGCTGGGGGACCAGAGCTACACAACCCGACTGCGATCTCGCCGTACTTCCGACCGACGGCGGATCAAGCGCCCTGCAACAAGAGCAGCCCCGATTGGCCGCTGCCGTATCCGACGCGCAGCCGTAGTTTCCCGAGGGGGGGCGTAGCCTAAGGGACTTGGCCAATGGGTGGAGAGACCAGAGGCGGGGCTGCGGGAGCTTGGGACCCGGGGAGTCAACAGGCGCGCCCGGAAGTGGGGGTCCAGGCCCACCCCTGTGGTGGGTAGGGCGCGCGCAGGCAGGCGCCGGGCTCGGTGCCTACAGCCACCGGCGCGGCTCCGAAGTGGCCCCTGTTGACCCTTCGTTTTCCTCGGGACCCCGAGGTAGTCCCTGAGGACTCTACGTTGTCCTGAACGGGCCCGAGGTGTCCTGGGCACATGTACACTACTGTTAAGGAGGGGCTGTTCCTCGGGAATCGTCGGAGGGTTAGGGAACGCGGGCCCTTCCGTCCCTCGGCGGCCGCGGCTCGGACCTGTAGCAGAGGGGCGGTCCAGTGACGGGCCGCCTGCGCCTCTCCCTTCTGACCGAGGGAGTCAGGCCCTCTTGGTCCCCAGGTTCATCACTTCGGGGCCCGGAAAACCCACCCTGTTACTCCAGCTCCGCTTCCCCGTCGCCTCCCCCCTATTCTGACGGCCCCGAGGTGTCCTGGTCATTTGCTCCTCTTGATGCATCCCCCGCGCCGGATGACCCCTTCACGGACACTGCCCTTCCGGGTCACGTCCCCTCCAGGACTACTGCCTTTTCCGGCGGTTGCATCCCCAGGCCATGACCCTCCCTACTGCTGTCCTTTCCGGCCACACCCCTTCCCAGCAGTTGCTGTACCCGGCTGGTGCCCTCCCGGTCGCGCCCCTCCCCCGCTGGATCATCCTAGTTCCTCCAGAGCCACACTTACACCAGCCATACCCTGTGCCCCACACACTCACCCCTCCTTGAACAGCCACCCCATAATACCCCTGTCCCCAGCCAGTGTTGAGCCTACCCCACACGGCCTCTCCAGACCCTGGCTGTGCTGTCCAGACTCTTCCGCTGAGTTCTGGGAGTAGAGCCAGTGGCTTGGCTGCTGTTGTGAGTTCCCCTTGGGCCACGTGAGGGCTGTTTACAGGAGAAGGAAGCCGCAGTGAGACAGCAGAAGCTTCTGAAAAACAGCTTCTTTTCAGGAGAACAAAGGTGCAGAGGTGTTTCCTTCCAGTGAGAATGTGATTTGATTCTGAAAGTAGTGGGGAAGGCGCTAGTAGAGTGTTTCCTCAACCTGTCTCCTCACCCTTTGCTCTGCTTACAGTCATGCGGGAAGAGGAGGATGTCTGCTCAGAGGTTGGTATACCAGATATCTGGTGAGAGTCCTTTCCTTAGAACCCCCACTCAGGAACTTCTCCACCTAGAGAAGGGTTCTCTGCCTCCCTCCTCTGCCTGGGCTTCCTGAAGCCTGAGGACTCTGACTGGGGTCAGTTGCCTTGCCAGAGCTCACACTGGTTGCTACATAGCCAGGCTTTCACAGTATGGGCAGTTGCATGTGGCTGTTGGATGACATTTGAGACCATCTTTTCATCCCTTCAGGTCCTGTTTCGCTTGAGACTTTGCCTGCTTGCTTTGCTTAGGGTCTTTTTTCAGTCCAGCACTACAGCCATATCCCAAAGGCTTTTTTGTTCATGAGCCAGAAAAGTAAATTCATTAAGCAGCAGAAAGCTAGAGACACTCCATCATTGCAGGCAATATAAGTAGGTTAGACCTTTGCTTGGATAATCTGACTGCCCCAGACTTCAGAGGGGCACACTCAGATCAGTGGAGGGAGTGGTGGGGTGCCCTTATGCTCCCCAACCAATAAGCTCCCGAGAGCTGAGTGGGGACAAAGAAGGAGAGACACTGGGTACCTCAATCCTAAAGCAAGAGGTGCACTGTGTGCACAGTCACATGCAGCACAAGGGTGTTTCAGCCAACAGAAGGCCATGCGTACGACAGTATGCGATAGAATTGTTTTGCCTGGTGAGTTCAGTGCTCTCTTAGTTTGTATGTGCACACCCTGTGACATTCACATAATGATGAGAACACCTGCCAGTGCATTTCTCAGAGGGTGTCCTCACTCAGACTGATGACTGAACCTGCCTCCTGCACCAAGTGCACAGGGATGAGCTTTCTGAATCTCTCACTCTGGTCTTGATGCAGAATTTTGCCTTAGAGACGCTTTGCCAGGCGCCTGTTGGTCCCAAGCTCCCGCAGCCCCACCTCTGGTCTCTCTACCCATTGGCCAAGTCCCTTAGGCTACACCCCACCTCGGGAAACGCTTTGCTTCCTGCCCTCCTTGGCTTTTCTGGCATGACTGTTGTATCTGAGACCTGTTTCTCTGAAGGTTGGGGCTTTGGTCCATGGCACTTGAGTAGAAACTGGAAAGGATTAGTAGGTGGCCTGCCCTTCCCCACCTAGCTCCTGGCTGCTTGGGAGCAGGGTGGGTGCAGGAGAATGGAGAGTGGCTGCATGTCTGGCTGGTTTCTTGGGCCCATCTTAGGCTTTGGGAGCCAGCCAGCCTTCTCTGAATTTCTGAAGTTCTTGTCAGTGCCCTTCTCAGATACAGCAGGGAGATGTCTCTGCTCTTTCCTCTTTGGCATGTGAACTGATATTAGATGTCCCCCAAATCCAGAGGGCTCTTCAGAGTTTAGTTAATTAGTTTGTTTGTTTCTTTCTTCTCTCTCTCTCTCTCTCTCTCT